GGAACTCTTTTTGTTCTGCTAGCCTGCATCAGTAGGAAAAAATTCCTCCGGTAGAGGAAGAGCTTTCCGAGGCCATAGTTTTGAGTTAAGTTTGAGACTGAAGAGAGCTTAATAATCCTTGTTTGATATTGTTTTTATGTAGAGTAGGGCTATTAGTTTGTTTTATATTAGTAGAGTATGGGTGGTCCTTAGGACCGCTTTTGCGGGATGATGAAAAAATTGTTTTTCGGTTGATTTTAGTGTTTTTTGTCTTTTTCTCGTAAACGAGTCATTCTTTTTCCAAAGTTGTACCTCTTTTAAATAGATTAGAAGATGCCAGATAACTTTATTTAAAAGCCAGGACTTAAGTTACTTAGTAAATTTTAGAGATAATGCTACAGGAAAGTTTTTTCTTTTTGTTTCTATTTTGGTAAAGTGATCTATAGGAAGAGTTCTTTTTAGAATTTTTGTATTTTTGATCATATATATTTGTAATGTTGTAATATTATAATTAGTAAATATAAAAATCTATAAATCTATTGAAAGTTAAAAGCTATTATTGTTATTAAAACATAAAAGAATTTGTAGGAAATATTTAAAGACTAATCAGAGTTTATAAAAAAAAGTATAATAAAAAAGAAACATAAATAATACAGAGAGAGATATGCATATTGGCAGTTGCTAGTTAACCCAAAAAAAAAATTATTTAAATTAAATATATTATATTGATTAACGCTGAAAAAACAAAATTGAACTAAAAAAAAAATATTTAAATTAATAATTGTTTATTTTATAATTGAGCTTTAATTTTATATATGCAATTAATTTTTTTTTTTCAGTATTAAGATGATCTCTTTGGCCTAATACCATTTTATTAACAGTTTATATTGATATAATTACAACAATAGTATATCAAGCCACACTTGCACTTTTGGTGTCTAATTTAAGTAGTTTGCTAAAAGGTTCTATATTATTTGCCATACCTGCACCCCAACTAGGGGAGTATTCATTTAAATCATCTGATTATAACTATTTACAACATCACCCTGATAACCCGTATGTTAATATCTGCTAGTTACACTGAAATTTGGAGTTTCACCTTAGGACACCTGTGTCTTATTATGGGTTTTGTACTAACTAATTACTGGCTTGCATTTCTCTGATAAGCAGACACACAAGTATTCTCAAGATAAATCTACTAGAGCTTTTCTTATCCCATTTTGGCCAGCCTAGTTCTCACAATCTCTGAAGATTTCACTTGTAGTATAGCTTAGTAACCACTATGATCTTATAAGATTTACTTTTTACTCTGATACCCACATTCAGACTTTTTTTTTTCTGTCATTTCCTAACCGATCCATTCTTTACAACTCGGAAGATTTAATTTAAGCCTGGCTTTAGGTGCCTTTAGTCTGTCTCATCTTGGTACACACTTCCATAGTATGTATCTTTTTTCTCCAACTCACAGTACCAGAATATCTAGCCATTTTTTTGTTGATGTCGCTAGGCTGGAACTTCTAATTCTATAGTTTGCCAAGGTAGGGCCTCTACTACTGACTTTTTCAAGGTTAGTGATCTGGTTGATGTAGCTAGTATACCTGCCACAAGTTCCAAGTTCCCCAAATTAGCAGTTTGGTTGATAGATTCCCACTTAAGGATCTTGTATCGCTTGGTTCATTGGTCTGATTCTAACTTACAAATTTGGTTTTTTCTATAGCATTGATGAAGGTTTTGGCTATCTTCTTACTCAGGGCTTCTAAACGAGTATTGATTGTTCTGATTATCTGAATTTCATATACCAAAGCTCCTATTCTAGATAGTATACCAAACAATTGATGTAGCAAATAATCATACCAAACACAGGTTCATTTTTCAATATTGTTGTCCCTGAAATTTGAACTCTAGACCTGCCACTTGAGGGTGACAACTCTACCACTTCACTAAATCGCCACACCTTATATATACAATTAATCTAAATTTCTTTTCTATAATTATATATAAATTTATATTAATAACAACTAAAGTAATAACAAAGTTTTTTTTTTATAATTGTATATATATATTTAATACAGTGACAACTAAAATAATAATAAAAGATTTTTTAAACAAAATATAAAAATAATCATTTTTTGATTTTTTCTTTATAATTTCACTTTCTTATTCAATATTTTTTCTTTACTTTTTCACTCAATACTTTTTTTCACTCTTTCTTATTTAAAAACTTTTCTTTACTTTTACTTTTTTTCTTTTTCTTATTCAATAAATTTTCTTTGGCAACAAATTTCCTTTACAACAAATTTTTTCAGCAATAAATTTTTTTTAGCAATAAATCTTCTTTGGCAACAAATTTTTTTCGGCAACAAATTTTCTTTGGCAAGAAATTTTCTTCGACAATACTTTTTTTTATCAACAAATATTTCTTTATCAACAAATATTTTCTTTGTTAACAAATATTTTCTTTGGCAATAGTTTTCTTTGACAATATATTTTTTTGTTAACAAATATTTTTTTTAGCAATACTTTTCATCGGCAATACTTTTCATCGGCAATAAATTTTCATCGGCAATATATTTTTTTGACAATAACTTTTCTTTAGTAATAACTTTTCTTTGGCAATAACTTTTCTTTATCAATAACTTTCTTCACTTTCTAGATTTTTTTAATATTCAAATTATTCTTTGACTTTTTTTTTGCACAAGTAAAACTTTTTTATCAATAGCTTCCTTTTTTGATATATTTATTCGTGTTAGTTCTTTTTTATTCATAGTAGCTTTTGAAATTTTGAAAATTATTTTTGGTTGTATTTTTGTAAATACTATGAAAAAATGCCTTTCGTTTTGGTTCTCTTCTCAAATCCTGTAAAGCAATAAAAAAGAAGTGTTTATATTTTAGTTCTTGTTTCTCTTCACCCTATAGTTTGAGCTCTACTTATCGGTCTCGCTTTTAGTTTCAATCCCATATATATCAGTCTTGCTTTCATCATTATTAATCTTGGTTTTATTTTTATCACTCTTGCTCTCGTAATTATTGCTCTTGCTCTTATAATCATTGCTCTTGCTCTTGTTCTTATTGCTCTTGCTCTCATACTCATCACTTTTGCTCTTGTTATTTATCTTCACATTACAAATTACATTACAGTAAAAGATCAAGTTTAGTTGAAGATAAATTGTCTATTTATTATTATAAAAATAACAATAACTCTAACTGATACAAATATTTGCTTTATAATATTTAACAATTTTCTAGAAGTAGTCATAGAAACTTGGAAGAAAGTATATTATATATTCTACTTTAATTATGTATAATAGTTGATATAAATATCAGCTAATATAACTTTATTATAAAAAATTCAACTTTGAAATCTCAAGTTTTTCTTCTTAAAGAAAGACTAAGACATCTTGAAAGGTCCAAATCAATTACAGAATTTTAATACTTGCAATCTTCAGTGACAGAGCACCTTGATGGTATGAATATCGATGAAATTGATAATATTGATAGAGAAAGTAAAAAAGAGTATACAAATAAGGCCAAGAAAAAAGAAAAATTCTTTTCATCTAGCAGATCATATGACTTAGGACAAACAAGATTTAAGCAAGGTCAATTAATTCTAATAGATCTGGAATATAAATTAGTATTTATAGTAATTAAGTTTTTTTTTTTATATTATATATAATGCTTATTGTTATACTAACTTATCGATATAAATATCAGATTTTTGTTAATTAAGTTTTTTTTTTATATTGTATATAATACTTATTGTTATACTAATCTATTGATATGAATATCAAATTTTTGTATTATGTTTTTTTTTATAATAAGTAATTAGGATTGCAAAACAAATATCACACTATGATCCTTGTTTGGCAATAGATAATAATAAAAATTGGCTCAATTAAATGGAATTTGTAGAGGTTACAATCTTACTTGCTCTTAAAAAATGTATCAACAAAAGCCTCGAATTTTTAGACAGTGAAGTTATTAGAGTACTACAAAGTAATCACTAAAGTCTTTCATCAACTACAAAAATCAAATCTGATAGAACCAAATTGAAGTTAAACAAAAAGCATGTTGGAAAGACTTCATGTATGCAAGAAGTAAGTTTTTTTTTTTATTGTATAAAAAATATATTTCATATATGTATATTGGATTTATATTGTATTCATTTTTTTTAGAAAAAAAAGAAGAATAGACAGATTATAGTACCTGATCCATATTAAAAACCCAATTATTAAAAAGTATCAACCAAGTTCTTTTAAGCAAAAGAAATGGGAAGATGATCTTGCCAAAGTGGTTGTTAAAACCACATATCATTCAATGAACTATCTGAAATAGATATCAAACTCACAAAAAAAAAAAAAACAAAAAAAGTTCATACATTGAAGTTGATAATAATGTTAGTAGATGAAGAAATAAAAATCATGTAATTAAAGTATATGTTCTAATATGATAATCTGAAAGGGTAATTTAATAAATAGATTATTAATTTTTTTTTTTAATAAAAATTGTATCAGTTAATTCTACTTTTATATCAAATAGTGTTAACAAATCTTCTATTGGGCCAAAGAAGTTGCATTAGTTAAATAAACTTATAAAAGAATGATATTATAATCACAACTAGAAAAATAAGACAAGATCTCTACTTAACACATTTCTTTAGACAATTTTATCAACTTATAATAATAATAATAATAGTAATAGTAATAATAATTTCTTAGAATTATCTAGCAACTCTGATTTAGAATCCAATAATCTTGAACCCAACGATTCTGAACATAACAATTACACAAACCAAACTAAGCAAACTGATTCAACTAAACAACTAGAATGATCTGAATAATCTGAACAACAATCTGAACCAACTAAACAATCTGAACCAACTAAACCAACTGAATCAACTAAACCAACTGATCTGACTAAATGAACTGAACCAACTAATCCGGCTGAACAAACTGAACCAAATGAACAAAGGTATATATTTATGTATTTATATATTTATTAATAATGCATTTTAGATTTACTAAATGATTAAATACTACTTTAAAACTGAATTATACAATGCTAAGCCTACTCATTCTTTTCAAGTTACTAACTCTAAAAATATTCAATCAAATACTGCAAAGTCCACTCCAAATAAATCTTCATCACAGGCTTTTAAATCCAAAAATCGCTCAAGTTCAATTTCAAAGAGCTCTGATACTTTTAAAGTCAAGTATAAAACCTCTTTTAGAAATATATCCAAATGTCAAGGCAACAATAATGTTAAAAGTGATAAATTTGAACATCTCTGTAAATAAATAAATAAGGAGAGTAATGCTAATGACAGTAATAATATTGATGAGAAAGGTTAATAGAACAACAATATAAAACTGCATTTTTTCTGTAATATTGCTTCATATAAAATAATAAAATAAAAATTGCTAATTTGCACCATAGGTGATTATCATCTATAGTTAATTTGTCAATTAAAATTTAGGATCAGGTATAACATGTAAATCAATTTTGTGTAATAAAAACAAAGAATTTTTTAAAAAAATACTCATATCTCAAAATTTTGTCTATGAAACTACCTTTTAAGCTCTAACAAAAAAAAATTCTTTGCTAAATTTTACTATACAAAACACTCTATTCTAATCTTTAACTACTAACCTCCACCCTTACCCTAATCTTAAAGAGGTTTAATTTTTTTGTTTTGATAGAAATTAATTATGTATTGTAGATCACAGATAATGATTACCTGTGGTAATTTCTAGTTATTTTCTAATAAAATTAATAAATTAGCAATATTAATGCTACTATCAACAAGAATATATTTTATATAAATTGAGTAAAAATCAAAAATTTAGAGATATATATAAATATCATAAAGTATAAATTAGTTTTAAAGACAAAATATATAGATATTTACAAACTATATTAGTAAGATATATTATATAAATCTTTAGATATTTTATAGATATGTCTTATAAACCTTGCAGATATTTTAGAAATATATAAATATCAAAAGTATTAATTAGTTTCGAAAACAAAATATATATTTGCAACTCTTTCTGATAATTACTCGCTTCAAAATTCTTATAGAAGAAAAACACAAATTTTGTTGGAGAGTCATGGCCTAACATAGTGGTTTGTCTAGAGGTCAACATTCTGCTATAGGACTCTTCCACAAGTGACATTCAGCATACAAGCCAAAAGCATTATTATACAAGATAACTGGCAAGAGGTGCCCTTGTATAAAAAATCTTGGTAAAGAAGAGGACTCTTTGGATATCTCTCTTTCTTTGTTGATAAAGCTCTTAGGCTGTACTTTTTTGAAGATACTGGGGAACAACAAAATATCCTGTTACTTTCTTCAAACTATACTCTTTTTACTTGGTCAAGTAGTACCTTTTTACTCTCTCTCATCCTTCCGTTGGTCTTCCAAAAAATTTCAACAAAAAGTGAGGATTTGGCTTACTTCTTCCAAAAGATCGGTATTGTTTACTTTCCAAATTTGAACAGATTACCATATTTTTCCCAAAACAAGCTACCTTTTTTAGACGATTTTAAGCTCAAAAATCGGGGGTAGCTTATTTTCGGGATTAATAGCTTTTAAAGTAATCTAAGCACAACACAGGAGGTAGCTTATTTTCGGGGTTTATAGATTTTTTAAATAATTTAAATTTAATAAAAGATATATAAGTAGCTTATTTTAGAAGTACAAGCTTAGAGATTCTCATATTTCTTATCTTTTAAAGATAAAATTTCAAAACAAATAAATATTCAAGTTATTTGTGAGTGTATACAGTATATATTATATATATATATATATACTGTATATATATAGTATATAAATTAATACTATACCAGCAATTATATACTTAACAGAAGCCAAATTTTCAGAGGCTAAGTTCGCTGCAGTGAAAACTTTAAATACTGCAGCACTCATCATTATGTGTTAGATTTAGCCAGATTTGGAGAACAACCAGTGTCAGTAATTTATAACCTTTGGTAGTAAGCTACCAAAATGGTAAGTTATCACTTTTTATTTCGAAGATCTGTGTTTTATAGCAACTTACTATAGTAACTTACCACAACTTACCATGGAACTACATATAAAATTCGCATTACAATAACAGCGATAAGAATAATTTTAGTTAAAAATAAAACAATACCTTAATGCTTGTTATTTAAGTCTAATTTGCATCTGTCAAAATGCTTGATGACAATTGTTTTAAAAAGCAAAAAAAAAAAAAAAAAAAAAACTTTACTATAAAAATTTACAACCAACTCGGCAGCTTACAAGAACCAGTTAACTCAATTGTGTGGCTTTACGATAGTAATTATGAAAAGGCAAAGGAACTCCTATATGGTTGAAGAAAAATATAAAGCTATAAAATTGGCACGTCGTACATCAAATACATTTGCTGCTCAAACCTATTCTCTTGACTTAACAATGCTTTGTTGGTGGGTTAAAAATTTTTCCCAAGGCAATCTTTCCAACAAGAATTCACGAAGAGTTGGCTCTGGACGTCGCGCATTGTTTCCTAAAGAGAAAGCTCAACTTTACAAATGAATAATGGAACTTTATAAAAATGGTCTTGTGGTTAATTATTCCAGTATTAAAATTAAAATGGTTGAAATTATAAAATTAAGTGCAAGACTAGCTCAAAAAGATGCAAAAAAGTCAGCAATTAATAATTTTAAATTTTTTCAGCACTGGCTTAGTCATTTTTTAAAATAGTATAACCTTTCTCTCTGCCGCAAAACTAATATTGCGCAAAAGTTACCAGAAGATCTCGAAAATAAGCTGTTACAGTTTCAGCGATTTGTTATCCGTCTTCGCCAGAAAAATAATTATCCTCTTGGTATGATTGCAAATATAGATGAGACCCCAGTTTGGTTCGACATAGTAGGTAACTTGACTGTGAACCCAAGAGGCATAAAAATAGTTCATGTTCGAACAACTGGAAATGATAAAAATCAATTTACCATGGCCCTAACATGTCTTGCTGATGGCACTAAGCTCACCCTAGTTATCATCTTCAAAGGAAAGGTTTGGCCAGCTCACACGCCTCCTCCTCCAGCTGGTATAGTTGTTTGGTTTCAAGACAAAGGGTGAATAGATGAGTCGGGAATGGACTAATAGATAAAGTACTAGAATAGAATGCAATCAGAGGGACCTCATTCAAGAGCAATACTTGTTTTAGACTCATTTTCAGCACATATTTCAGATCGAACTAAGCTTGCATTGAATTCGAGTAATACAGATATAGCTGTTATTCCTGAGAGCCTTACTAGCATGTGTCAACCTCTTGATGTCTGTGTAAATAAACCTTTCAAAGATAAACTTCATTAATATTGGCATAGGTGGATAGCAAATGGTGGTAATAGTCTTACTAAGGGCGGAAATTTAAAACATGCAGATTTAAATACAGTATGCTATTGGGTGTTAAATGCATGAGATGATATTTCTCATGATATTATCATTCGGTCATTTAAAAAATATGGTATCTCTAACTATTTATCAGGAAGTAAAGATCACTTAATTTATGAAAATGATGGTGAGAATTTGGAAAATGCTAAGTCTGTTAATAACAGTAATGAAAGTGAGATTAATAGTGAATACGAGAGTGCAAATGAGAATGCAAATAATAATTATAATAGTGTGGATAAAGATACTAATACAGAGAATGATTCTAATAATTAGCCACAATGCTGGGTTGTCATTTAAGGTAAGAGTAAATATCATAAATAAATATGGTTACAGTATTATAAAAATGGTTATTTAACAAAATTTGTATTAACTTCGATTAAGGTATGAACGATTATCAGATTGGACAAAGGCTAAACCAAATGATATATTTTATTAAAAAACTGAGAAGCCTAATAAATAGAAAATCTGACAGCTTAAATCATCATCAGTAATAATGTAGTGATAATTAGTAATATAATAAATATTATATTTGAGATTTTGAGCTTTATACAATAGTTCCATTAAAGATTACTAATTAGCAAATACGATAAAAAAGGTTATATAAAATTCAATTAAATTTACTTTATGATTCTATCCTTATCCTACTACCTTGTGCATTTATCCATTATAACTGATAACCAAAGCATCCTGTGAGATCTGAAGTCTACCAGTATATAGTTTAAGTGTAAAATTAGTTATAAGTAAAAACATAATAAAAAAATTAGCCATATAAGGGCGTTAATGAATAATTAGAATAGTAACATATAAGATTAGAAACAGAAGGTATTATTGTATATTATGGTTAGGATATATATAGCATACAAGAAATATTTTTTTAGTTGGACATAGTAATTTTTTTATTTTGTGTATTTAATCTCATAATTGTTAAATTTTGATCGGTTAAGATTTTTAGAGGTTATAATTTTTATGTAGTAGCTTATTTTCAGAACTATAAATTTTTTAAACTTTTAACTAAAAATTAAAAGGTAGCTTATTTTTGGGCTATTAAGATTTTTGGCCAAATTAAAGAGGTAGCTTATTTTCAGTGATAGCTTATTTTTGAGAAAATATGGTAGCAAAATGCAACCATATATTTGTTTATAGACGAATATGACGCTTTTTCACAAAACTTAGCCTAGAAACTCTAATTATAGTAGCAGGTGGCTTGAGACACGGGTTCTTAGATGATGGCAGCACCTGGCTCGAGATATGAATTAGAACAAGCAATAAAGCTATCTGGAGTTGGTGAGAAGGTCAGAAAGTAAATTTAATATTAAGGTATAGCTTTATAGTAGATATATACAAATGTTGCATTTGTTATATAATTTTTATTAGCCATGCACAGGCTATAATAGTGCTTTCAGGATTTTAGATTTCTTTTTATGTTTTTTCTTTTTCACAATCAGTATTTTTTTTTCTTTTCTGTTTTTTCTTTTTTTCTGGTTATTTTTGTTACTGTTTGTTTGAAAATTTCCACCTTTTGTCTTATGCCTCTTGAGAAGAAGAAAGAATTAGAAGAAAAAAAAGAGATTCTGACACAATATATAACATCTGGTCAAATGATCAAAAGGGTATTCTTTGCCAATACAAAATCTAAAGCGAGTTTTGGATTCCTTTGTGAGACTAATAGTTGTTATAGCAGGTCGCATTGGGCAGTACTTAGTATGCTTGGTGAGTTTCTATTAGAATAAAGCATTACACTATCTCGGTGGTTACTTATGTAATTAATCATATAGTAGTTCATAAAATAAATAGAAACAGGTTTGCTTAAATACAAAAAAAGAAAACAAAATATATATATTTACAAAACTATATTAGTAAGATATATTATTTAAATCTTCAAAAATTTATACTTTTTTCATAGATATGTCTTATAAACTTTGCAAATAATATAAAAATTGTAAAATATTAATTAGTTTCGAAAACAAAATATATAGATATCTATAAAACTATATTAGTATCATATATTAAGATATATTGTTTAACTCTTTGAATATTTGATCATTTTTTAAAGATATGTCTCATATATCTTGCAGATATTTTAGAAAATATCGCATAAATATTGGTATATAAAATATTTTACATATAGCCACAAGAAATGAGTCAATATATACTAATTTGATAGGCCGCAGATATGTACCAAATATCGCTGAGCTATTAGATAGCACGTACTGAAATGTTTCTGCAATATATATATAAGCTTTATGTAATATATCTACTTGCCAATATGTCGCAGAAATTTTGTGATTGGACTTGTAGCTAAAAAAAGAGACAGCTATAATAGTACTATTTTTGCCTGTGCTAGGTTATATAAATTATATAATGTTGTATAAAATAAAATCTAACCTAACACTATGTAATAAAAAAGTAGAAAAAATATAAAAAAAATATCTAATGTTAAGAAATTTTTACATTTGATCTCTCTAATCTCTAATATACTGTTATTGTTTATTTGGCAAAGTATAATCCAAATAAGCTTGTTGGAGATTCTATTTTAGTAGATGCATTCTAATTTGGAAGAAGTAAACACTGCTGATTTTTAGAAAAAGTATGCTAGTTTTCCCATTTTTTGGCCAAAATTTTTAAAAAATTTCCAAAATAGCAAAAATATAGTAGAAGGTTTTCGGTTGTGGTATTTTCAAAACTTTTAAGAAGTGTGTTAAAATTCAAAACTTCTGTTGTTTTCTCTGTTATTCTTCAAAGTAGCAGTCTTGGAGCTTCATTAACAAAATAAAAGCCTATTTGAGACTTTCTTCTTTCACCAAGATTTTTTATACAAGAGCACTCACTGCTTGCCAGTTATTTTGTATAATAATACTTCTGGCTTGCTTGCCAAATGTTTTTTTAAAGGAGTTCTAAAAGCAGTTGACTTCTAGACAAACTACACTGTATGCCACATCTCTCCAATAATAGTTGTCACAGCTGATGCTGAAAATGGCTAACGCTAAAATTTTGATTATTTTATTATTAAATTTTTATAATTTTTGGGGGTGCATTTTTTTAGTCTTCATATAATAGTTTGAGTAGAGTTTATTGTCAGGGTTTATTAATTAAAATGTATAAATGGGTTTTAGTAGGTCTTATAGTTCTAAATAGAGACCCCAAAATTTCACCATCAGTCATTTTTAGTATCAGCTGCGACAATAGTTTTGTTTTTTGTTAGTTGAAATTTTGATATAAGTGATTGTTGAGAAAAATTAAATTATATATATATAGTATTAATATACAGTATTTTTTTTAAATATATAAATTATTCAAACTCAAACATATTTGTGAACTTCAAATCAAACTCGAACCAAACTTATAGCTAATGTTTAAGTTTAGTTTGGGTTTGGAATAATAAATTTAAATTCAGGTTCAGGTTTGAAATTAGTAAAATTTAAAGTTTAAATTTGGTCTGAGGTTGAGGTTTGATCAAACCCAAACCAAACTGGATCCAAACCTAGAAGCCCTAGTTTCAACTACTACTATCAGCCCTTTAACTTATAGATACTTCTTACTATGCATATGTATATTTTGATATTTACCCACATTAGCTTTTGCACTTTACTTTAGTACTTACTAACTTATATAGAACTAGTCTATCCTTGAGATAAACCTAACAGAATAGTACAGTACCCTAGTATATTATTATGGACACTTTTTAAAAGTTTATAACAAGCTAAATAAACATAGTATTAATTTAAAAATTATACAATAAACTTGTTAAATCTAAAACTTTTAAATAAAAAAAAGATTACAAAATTCTATGCAGTACTTTTTGAGATAATTAAAGTATACAAAATTATATAATGTTATACAAAACTGAAATTAGTAATTTTATAAGTAAAAAAAAACTTAAATTTAAATTTTTAAATATTTAACAGTTATATGCAAATAATTTTTATATTATTAAATTTTTATGATAATACAATTCTAATGACACTAAAATTGTTAAATTCTAATTACTAGATCTTGAAATATTCAGTAAAGCTTTATATAATATAAATTTATAGCTATTTACAATTCATTATATATAAAACATACTTTTTTTATTAAGTAATATAATATAATTTTTTCTTAAATAAAGTTATTTGGTATAAAAATTATATATAATTTAAAAATTTTAAATTTTTTTAAAAGATATTTATTAATCAATAAGATTTCCAGATAACTCTTTCCAACGATCACTTGAACTATATTTTCTGAAAAAGATTTTACTGCAAGAAAAGACCTTACAAGCCGGCACTTGACCTAAAAATTTAGACAATAAGACAGCACCTGTCATTTAGAAGTAGTTCTCATATACTACTTGCTGACAGGTTTAGAGTTTATCACTCATTGCATAGTCTCAGCACTTGTTGTTTAGAGATAGTTCTCATATGCTACCTGCTGACAAGCTTAGAGTTTATTACTCACCAGAAAAAAGGTTAAGCAGGTGTTGGGCAGTGAGTCTTGACTGTAGAAAAGAAAACTCACACTCCTTTAAATTAGTTTGAAGCTCAAGTGATCCCTCTTTACCTCTTGTCATTTTTCCATCGGTTTTCAAAAATTTTCCATAAAAAGTAGGGGATTTGGCTTACCCCTCCAAAAGATCGGCATTGTTTACTTACCAAATCTGGATAGACCGGTAGATAGCAACCACGTATTTGGAGACAAATACATTATATGGGCCCTGGAACGAGTCTCGGTCAAAAAAGGAATTCCTGGTGGCAGCACCAAGTGGCTTGAGATACGAGTACCTGAGTGATAGCGCCTTTATGGAAATGTCGCGTCCTTGTCATCGTTGGCACTGTATATGGAGAGTCAGATCCTAGTACTGCAGCAGCACTTGGTTTGAGATACAGTCTAAGTTATTAAAAAGATTTAGAATTGGGTCGAAGGGAATTTTAAGGTTAAGCTTAGACTTACAACAGAGATATACAGATGTTGCATCTGGCATATAATTTTTAAATCACCTGGTATGGGTTATAATAGTGTATTCGGATCGCTTAATTTTGTCTTTTTTCTGCTTGTTTTATCTATTTTCATTTATATTAGAATCGGTTTAGGTTCTCTTTTTCTTTTTCTCTATTTGTTTTATTTTTTCTTTTGTTTCTGTTTTCTTTTTTAGAACAATTTCTATTTTTTTTCGGTTATGAGAGAGCTTTTAGAGAGTTTCTTTAAATATACCTTCCTTCATAATGTTGGCATATATGTTAGTCTTATATAGAAGTTAGTGACTTGAATCGGTTGAGCTATAATCAGTTAACCGA